AAAAAAGTTTCTCAAAGTTGTCCTAAGACAAGGCAATTTGGTTTTAGCACAACTTTGATGAAAGGTTTTGATCCACTTCAAATGTTGACTACTCTGGTTTTTTTTATATATATATTTTTTTTGCTACGTGTACTTCATTAGGCTAACCAAGACTTGTCATTATTGCTTCTATTGTCTTCATTTGTAAGTTGTTTTGGATAAAAGCATCTACTAAATGTAACTGTGTATATATAAAAGAAAACAATCTCTCTCTGTATGTGTGTGTGTGTATATATATATATATAGACAAATCATTTATATATTTAAGTAAACATGGGTTTAGTTTAGCCAAAACGGGGGCCATAAATGCGCTCTCAAAACTTCTTAAGATGAAAAAGGCTCTTAAAAATCTTACACTGTGACAAAAGCTGTCTCTGTTCCCATTCTGCACAATTATTTTGAGCAGATAATGTGTAACTGGGCCAAATATCACGTTGCGTAGCTGTTACCACCTGATCGACATTAGCTCAATAACATTATTCTTGCAAATAGATTACAATGCTCTCTTGTTTAAGCTTCAAGAAGTTTCCTGGCCACTGAGAGACTGTCATGATTTATGCTGAACAACCACGGACAGACAAGCTGCCTCGATTCCCAAGGCATAAACAAATCAAACAGAATATAAATAAGGGCATAAAACGCAATGTGCTGTGCGCTTCCTCTTAAGGTCTGTTTGGGACACTGCTCTTGAACAGAGAAGCGCTGAAATAATTGGATGCAGTGAATTACTTTCAGAAGGGAGATGTGATGTCTGCTGTGAGAGGCCGCCATGGGCTAAGCCAACAGATTTGAGTTTAGGATTAGTGCTATGCTTGAACTAATAATGTTTATGCATAAAGTCTGAATCGGGATTGCTCTAGTGTTTGCCTAATATAGTCAACTGAAAAAAAATATTTTTTGATATATTCAAAGCTGTGAGCTGTATAGCCTACACTTTCTGATTCATGTACACTGCACAGGTCTGATGAAACATTTTAGACCTTAAATATTGGTAGATATAAGCTTTTATACAACAGTTCATTCTGGTTCTCAAATCTGATTGGTTGAAAACCGTGAGATATTGTAGTGGTATTGCTATAGGAACGCCCTTTCACCGTTTGAATCACTCTGCTTCCCGTATTTCTCACAATGAGTGTCATAGTGGATGCCCAAATCCACTCAAATTAAAAAATAATACTGTTTGTGTGTCACAGAATGTAGCTTTAAGATTTTTTTTAGGCGAGAATGTACTTGGTTAGACTTCAAATATACGGTTTGTTAATAAAGATAATGTTTATTTGAAAATTTGCTTCGACGTTTTCGGAGATGTGAGCTCCAGAGTGTCAGCGGGCGTTCAGCGCTCACGAACCCACCGAGAGCAGCATCACCTCGGCCAGATCTTCTGGTATTTGCCGCTGGCTCTGATGTCTCTATAGTGGATAATAATGAGATATAATTCATTTTAGGTCATTTTAACATGCAGTCCTTAGTCTCATTAATCTATTATTTGTTCCAGAGCAAATAGTTTTGGCTGATAATCACATTACATTGTAACTTTAATGCTGTATATTAGAGCGCTGCCTTTCTACTAATTTTTTAGCGACTTTTATGTGAGTGTGTGTGTGTGTGTGTGAGAGTGAGTGAGTGAGTGAGTGTGTGTGTGAGTGAGTGAGTGAGTGTGTGTGTGTGTCTGTGTGTGTGTGTGTGTGTGTGAGAGTGAGTGAGTGAGTGAGTGTGTGTGTGAGTGAGTGAGTGAGTGTGTGTGTGTGTCTGTGTGTGTGTGTGTGTGTGTGAGAGTGAGTGAGTGAGTGAGTGAGTGAGTGAGTGTGTGTGTGTGTGTGTGTGTGTTAGTGAGTGAGTGAGTGTGAGTGTGTGTGTGTGTGTGTCTGTGTGTGTGAGAGTGAGTGTGTGTGTGTGATTTTTGTGACATTGTTTCGCCTTTAGATGGCGACAAGAGACTGTTTTACGAGTCAGCAGTAGACTTTTATATTGAAAGAGACTGAAACGAAAGTTATTTTTACTTTCAACAACAGCTTGTAAGACACAACCAACAAATGCAGTGAGCAGCTGTCATCAGAAATCACCTTCAACAGATGAAAGGACAGAACGACAAAGATATCGCTTTCCTCAGCGTACAGTCAAATGTTTTATTGTGAATATGAGATTGAGCTGAAGAATAAATGCTGTATCAGATGCAGGTAATCACACCCTCTCAGTCCATCTCTCTCTCATAATACTCTACATAATACAGTGAGCTTTTAATACAGTGATACAATAAGATTTTAATGAAGCGACTCAATGTTCCGTTGTTACTAGTTCTAAAGTGACGTTTTCGAATTAGTAACAGAGACTTGAAGATTTGAATTTGTGGTGGAAGAAAGTAGTTCTGCACAAAAGGGTTTTACACACGTGCCGTCGAACTGTTGTATAAACGCAATATTACACTCGTAGACGTGAGATATGGCTGTATATCAGCACACTGTGATTACCTACGGCCGAATCACAGCAGTGCCGATATTCAGCCATATCTCAAGTGTGATATTGCTCATATAAGCACAACTATATTCCATTGCTTAGATCACAGCTCAGGACAAAACTCTAAAGCCCTTTGAGTTGTTACTGTAGTACACTTCTTGAACCGTTCAGAGAACTGTTTTGCTTTATAATTTCTTGAATGAAAAATAAATGGATAAAAAAAACTACACTTGCATCAAAATCCATTATTTTCCTTATTTATGCATGTGCTCCTGCAAAATGAATCCCTCAAGATTTCATACAACTACCCTCTCACCTGCTTCTGAATCTCTTTATGTTTCCCAATGAATAATTCAACAGTGTATGCGAGCATCCTCCTGTACAAATGCAGCGTTTCTTGTCTAATAGGACCAAAGAGCAAGAGAAAGCAGCTGTTGAATATGTGTAGAGATGGTGGCAGGGGCGGATTGGCCATCTGGCAATTCTGCCAAATGCCAGAGGGGCCGGACCATTTTGTTTAATATGGGCCGGTCAGATTTTTTCTAAATATATATAAATAAAATAATTTTTACGGGCCAACAGCGCATAGGACAGATTTTTATCGCTTGCACACTGCTTCAAAATTCCAAGTTTAATTTAATGTGTTGCTTGCCATTTCTTTGTAATTATTTGTCAAATTTACTAGCAACTTCGGACTGAAGAAAATCGTTTCAGTAGTACACATTTCTTTCACTGTCCACTGGATATACACAAATATTGACTAAGTCTCATTGCTGTAATGCTAATAATCTATCTACCTGTCTGTATCTATCTATTTATTGGTTCCCAAGTAATTGTATCTTGATTTAAGAATAATTAGATATTGTACTGGTTAAACAAGACAAAAATACTGAAGAAATATGACCAATTATATATTTTTTTATTATTATAAATATTTTTTCAGTGAATGAGACAAAACATGGTACAATTGAAGGCTTTATTGGCTTCAGGATTGCATATTGTATGTATTCTGGATTGTTTTATACAGTATGGATGTTTTATGCATTCGTCTGACCAATAAATCACCAAATATGAGGTTTTTCTAAGAAAAGCAACTTCAGATGATGGTGTTCAGGCAATACTTACTGTTGCACCTGTTGTTCTCCTGACTGAATTGCTTATTTTTCTTACCCAGTGGACAGAATTAAAAAAAAAAATTTCAGATAACAAGACTTAATATCTTAAGTAATTTTGCTTCTCAATTAAAGCAGCACTATGTAACTTTTTCTGTGTTCAAAATTTGCAAAATGTATATGAGCGAGTACATCATGAATTCATCTTCCAAACCTCGTTTTTGTCTTATTCCGAATCACTACGGTACACTTATAATAAGCACTTATATTTGGACTATTGTAGCCTGGTTTCTGCGA